GCCCTCTCCCGCGCCACACTCGCTGTGAGCTCTGCAGGTGTAGATGCTCTTGTCGTAGTAGAACCCGTCCATGCACCGGCACCGACGGTTCCGGTCCGCGGCGCAGGGCTCCTCGTCCACCTGGTTCCGTTCACACACGCTGCAGCGCAGACACCTGTCCATGGAGTTCCACAGCTCCGTGAACGAGCCCCGCGGACAGGGGGCGCACTCGCTGGGCCGCGAGGGCGCGCAGCGCGTCCTCAGGTAAGTTCCCGGAGGACAGCTGTCACAGAAGAACTGATGTCCGGTCAGAGGGTCCCTCTGTCTGTAGGTCCGCAGAGGAACACCAGGGGGTGCTGCTGCATCAGCAACAGAAAAGGACAAGAGGAGCAGCAAGAGCAGCTGACGAGGAGGAGGAGGAGGAGGAGGAAGAGGAAGAGGAGGAGGAGTTTCAGTAAACAGAGGTTTATATTTAAACTGACTCAGAGGGAAACCACTGAACAGACCACCTTAAGACTGTTAAGGTGGTCTGTTCTTCAACAAGGACGGGGCTCACACACAAACACACACACACACACACATATTTACACAAAAATATAAATGTATGTTCATACAGAGTTGGTTGTTTACATCCACGTGCACTGTAACGTGCACGCTCCTCAGACTTTAAACCCTGACGACAGATGTTGGTCGCAGCTGTGTGTGTGTGTGTGTGTGTGTGTGTGTGTGTGTGTGTGTGTGAGACTCACCATGGCTGTCTTCAGATGTTGGATGTGGACTGACTCAGATACAGCTGATCCTGGACCTTTATATAGTCCCTGTCACCATGACCCCACCCTCACACGTCACACCCACAGTCACACTCACAGTCACAGTCACAGTCACACTTACAGTCACAGTCACACGTCAGAGTCACACTCACAGCCACACTCACAGTCACAGTCACACGTCAGAGTCACACTCACAGCCACACTCACAGTCACAGTCACACGTCAGAGTCACACTCACAGCCACACTCACAGTCACAGTCACACGTACGCGTCACACTAAAAGTCACACTCACAGTCACACTCACACCCACACCCACCCACACACACACCCACACACACACTCTTGTTTTGAAGTTCTGAAACACCTCTAAGGAGCAGCTGTTGTTACGTCACAGCATCAACAGACACTTCATTGTCCCCAGCACCACCGGGGACACCATCGGCACCAGCGACACCAGTGACACCAGCGACACCATCGTCACCATCAACACCAGTGACATCATCACCAGTGATACCTTTGACTGAAGAACCTCTTCTTCCTGCTAACTATTACCAGATCAGTTCTTAGTTACTTAGTCTTACTAATTAACTAATTCAACTCCATCACTTCCAGATTTATTCTTTAGTTTAAAGACTTTGGTCTGAACTAAAATCACAGACTCCCTCCTTGAGGTTTGGTCTGTAATTCATGATCATCACTTTATAAACTTGTCTTTTCTAAATGTAGTTCAACTAGTTGTTAACTAGTTAGCTGGTTGAACTGGAGCCAGGCCTTTAGCTTCATCATCTCTTCTCACAGAGGGTGACTGTGGTCGACAGTTTCACTCCCAGTCTGTGAATCAGTCTACGCTGGAACAGCCCCCCCCCCCCCCCCTCCATTATGTAGAGATTATTTGTAATTTCAGTTGAGTTTCAAGTCCAATCTGTCTGGGACTGAGGATGACATCACCCTGATGACATCACCCTGATGACATCAACCTGATGACATCACCTGATGACATCACCCTGAACATCACCCTGATGACATCACCCTGATGACATCACCCTGATGACATCAACCTGATGACATCACCCTGTTTACGCTCCCATCGTTATTTTGTTTGTTTTCACTTCCTATGACCTCTGACCCTGAGACAGACGCCCCCTTCAGGGCTTTAAGACCATAAAACCGTGGGACACAGGAGTCACGTCCAGTTCCAGCAGTTCAGGAACGAGA